TATACAGGATGCTCAGAGACCCAAATGGGAGGGAGGCATCATTTCAGGTAAAAGCTAATTCCAGGGATCAGCCCCACCCCAGGAGGGAACCAGGAAGTGCCACCCCCCCACCCAGTCCCGCCCCTGTCTCTGGGCAGGCAGCTGTTACTAGGCAACAGAAACCGGCTGGAGAGGATGCTGGTGGTTGCTAGGCAACCCCATCCCAGGCCTCACTTGCCACCTTCCTGCCATCCCCGGTTCCCACAATCCCACGGGGAGGGAGGTCTGGACATCCGGGGTCTGGAAGGGACAGTATCCGGCAGTTAGGAAACTTGGGGAGACAGAGAGACAAACAGAGAGAGCCACGCACACATGCAGACCGATGTATAAACCCAAGACAGTTAAAGGGGATGAAAAAAATGATAATAAAGAGAAGGGGGAAAGACAGAAAGGAGACTGGAAGGGGGAAGAAAGAAAAAAACTCGGGAAAGGAAGAAGGGAAAACAGGCAGAAGTAGACGAGAACAAACAGAAAGATGGTAAGAACACATAAAAATGGGAGAAGTGGAGAGGAGAGTTACAGGCAGGTACAGAGAGGATGAGAAGCAAGACAGAGGGAAGAGACAGGAAGATGTGGGGCTTGGAGGTGGAGAGAGAAAGAGCAGTGCAGGCAGAAGAGACCCAGAAGCAGGAGAGACAGAGAGGAAGAAAGGGAATGGAGGGGAGACCCGAGAGCTGGCCGGAGCAGTGAAGAAGGCAGGAGCACACCCCGTCTACTGGAAGTCTCGCCAGACTGCGCCCCCCAGGCTGTTGGGGTGGGGGGGCTGAAGATTAGGGGAAACGATGTATCTTGGCTTCCCACCACTGCTCCATCACCAGAGTTAATTCTGAGGGGTGTCCCAATCCTCTGCAGTGGACAGCCCCTCTGCAGAGGGGCCTGACCCCAAAAACAGTGACCCTGGGGTTACTATGGGAGTGCAATGCTGTGAGGTGAACCTGAGTGTCTCTCCGCGGGAGGGTTTGGGCCGGTGAGCGGGCAGGCAGGGCAGAGACACAGGGCAGCACCTCAGACTGGCCCTCCCGGCCTGGAAACCTGGACCCACAAGGGGGGGCACAGGAGGCCTTGCTCTGCATCCCCCCTCCCATGTGACCTTGAGCAAGTCTCTCTGCCTCTGGGAAAGACAGGCTGGGGGGTGGGAAGGCATCTGGACAGGCTGGGGAGTGAGGACTGTAATTTGTATGGAAGGTGAAGGCTTGTCAAGGGTGAAGGAGCAAGGGACGCTGGGAGATCCGGAAGAATTCACAGGGGGAGGAGTAGGGACAGGGCTCTGATAGAGACAGGGGTGAGGGGGTCGCCCTGTGACACTGGGGGCTTCTGGGGCCCGACACAGGTAGCAGAGGCTAGAGGACAGAAAGACCACGGGGCAGAAAAGCAGGAACCCACAGGTGGCAGGCAGACTCGGGTGGAAGCAGGAGGCACAGGGAGGGACAGGGCTGGGGGCAGCAGACGGCAGAGGCAGGAAAGCACAGACAGAAAGACAGACAGACCAAAAGAAAGTGAGACTACGGCAGAGAGAAAGATACACAGACCCACCTGGAAGTGCCTGTCCCACCAAAGGGATCAGAGATGGGAAGGTGGGAGACGGGAGGGGCAGGGAGAGAGGCCAACTGAGCCCCACAGGAGCCCCACAGGCCAAGCCAGATACAGGCTGAAGCACAGCAGCCCACTGCCAGGGACGAGACAGGCAGTGGGCAGGCGATGAAGAGCCAGAGCACAAACGCAGAAGACACAGAGGGCGAGAGCAAGCCAGAGGCGAGAGGGCCAGAGAACACATGTGTAAGAACCGGGGGGTGGGGGACTTTGAGAAGAAAGAGCAAGGTGGGGAGAAAAGGCATCAGAGCCATACAGCAGGCCCAGAAGGGGGGGGGGTCAGGGGAGCCTGCAGGAGGACGCACAGTAGACAGGCAGGCACAGAAGACAGGCAGGTTCGTGGGAGCAGGGAGGGAAACTGAGGCAGGGACCTGGAGGGGCCAGGCAGGAACAGGGCAAGCATTCACAGAAGGGACACACAGGGTCTCATGGCTGGAGACCCCAGAGTCTAGAAGCCCCAAGGCCGGGGTGGAAGGGGACATGAAGGCCAGGGGCAGAGGAGGGAGAGAGAGGAGGGAGAGAGAGAGAGCGCGCAAGAGGACCATGCAGGGCAAGAGGACCATGCAGGGCCGCCATGGGAAGGCGGGAGGGGCAGAGGAAGCTGGTCCCAGAGAGAACCTAGAGGAAAGTGGAAGAGGGAGAGAAGGAAGCTACACTCGACTCCTCCGCCTGAGTTAGGGGGACACAGGAGAGCAGGGGCGACCGGCGGGGCACTGTGGGCTGAGAAGCGAGAGCGCACTGGCGCCTTGACCAGAGGCGATGGGAATTTTGAGAGAGAGATGGCCAGACACACCACGCAGGGTCAGGCTGACAGCAAAGAAGAGCGAAGTTGGACAGTCACAGGGACACATGGCCGGCGAAATGGGAAAGGCATTTCCAGGAGGGAGAGACCGGAGGGGACCGGGCCGGCAGCGAGGCAGAGGCTCAAAGGCAATTAGAGACGCGACTGAGACCCAGACTGAGACCGTGACAGGGGAGCGCTGGCGGGAGAAAACAGGGGCGGAGACCTGCTGGGAGTCCCAGAGAAGGAGTGAGACCACAGGCAGTCCCCCAGGACTTGCTCCTGGGGGGGGTCAGGGTGAGCCGTGTGCCCGGCGGGAGGGTGAGTGGAGGTGCAGAGATGGAGGGTGCAGGACAGGCCCCTAGGGGGAGGGCAACTGCCGATGGGCGAGCTAGAGAGCCGGAACGTGGGCCGCCAGGCAGGCGGCAGCCAGCGCAGCCTTCCAGGACCCAGGCTGGGCCCCCGCCCAACCCCCGCCCTGCAGACACTCACGGATCCTGGTGGGACGGAGGGCTGGGCTCCCTCGAGGCGAGGAACCACACGGAGCCGGAGATGCTCTGGTGCTGGGTGCTGGGGTGGATGGGGGGGGGGAGAGGGCAGTCCACCGGCCCCCTCCCCCGCCTCCTGCGGAGGTCCCCAACTAATCCAAAACGGGGGCTCCCCAGGAGCAGGGAGGAAGGACAGGTGGAAGAGGAGAGGGCGGGCGGGGAGGGGAGGAAGGGGAAAGGAGAAAATGGAGGAGAGAAGGGGAGAGAAGAGAGGGGGAAGGAGCAAATGGAGGGGAAGGAGGGAGGAAAGGAGGGAGGAAGGTGAAAACGGAAGGGAGGGGGGCACAGGCAAAGCCGGGGGAGGGGGAAGCCGGCCCAGGAAAGGGCCCCCGCCCCCTCCCCTAGCCGGGCCGGCCTGGGGGGGCCACGGGGGGCGAGGACTGGGTGGAGAAAAGGAAGCCGGCCATCAGGAGAAGTGGGGGAGGGGAGGGCTTCGTGGGGGGGAGGGGGCCACCCCTTCCCCCCTCCCCCCAGAAGCCTCGGCCCTGCCCTGGATGAGGCAAGGGCCTGGAGTCCTCAAGCCCTCAGCCCCCACGGGAAAAGCATGCTGGGGGCTGGGAGAGGCTGAGGAGTGGAGGGGCTGAAGAGGATGGGGTGCTGGGAGCCCCGGAGAAGCCAAGCAGGGAGCAGGCGAGGTGGAGAGACAGACGGGGAGGAGGGAAAGGAGGAAGAGGAGGAGGGCAGGGAGTAGGAGAGGAGCAGGTGGAAGAGGGAGGAGGGTGGGGTGTCCCGGGGGCACCAGCCACAGGGCCCCAGCAGGAGCGCCAGGCCACAGACTCTGGTCCCCTGTGAGGAGCCGCGGCTGGCTCAGATCCCCCAGCTGGGCCTGCCTCCCCGCCGGCCGCCGGCCACTGCCGCCGCCGCCTCCTTCTCCCTCTGAGGCTGCCGCCTGCCAGCCTGCCTGCCTGCCTGCCTGCCTGCCTGCCCGCCGCCCGCGCTGGGTCCTGGAGCGCGGGGGGCGGGGGGAGAGAGCTGAGGGAGGGAGGGAGGCTGGGAGGAGGGCGGGCTGGAGGGAGGCAGGCTGAGAGAAGAGGGAGGGGAGTCGGGGGAGGGGGAGCCCGTATTGGTTGGGGCTGGGGGGCCGCGAAGAGAATGTTGATGAGGGGAAGGCGCTGCATTGGACGGACCCCCCCAACCCCCCAACCCCTCCACCACACCGTGCCACCGCCCTGCCAGGCAGCCCGTGGGCACAAGAGCCCACGAGAAGCTGGGAGACTTGGGGACAAGGCCATGGAGCTGGGGGGTGAGGGCGACAGAGATGAAGAAAAATAGAGAAACAGACAGCCAGTAGTGGGGACACATTGAGGTGGGCACAATCCCCACAACCCCCACAAGGACACCATGGACAGGAGATGGCCCAGAGAAAGTGGGGAGAAAAAGGACCATCCCGCTGAGACTTGCCAAGGACCTTAGAGAGGAGGGCAGACCATGGCCACAGAGCCCCTCCTCCCCCAGGAAGATGGGGACAGGGAACAGCTAGTAGACACAGAGAGCCCCTGGGAAGATGGGGAGAGGCCACAGAAAGGTCAGAAAGACAAAAGGCCCCTGGGAACATAGCCATGGAAAGCATTTCTTGGGCAGAGTGGCCCATGGTAACTTGACAGGAGAAGGCCACTCACAGGAGAGGCCTACATAACCTAGAATAAGATGTGTATCAGAGAGACCTGGGAGGAGGACCAAGGAGAGTGGGAGAAGGTCACAGAAATGGGTGGGTGTAGAGGAAACCCACAAAGACAGGATGTAGCTATTGGAGACAAGAGGCCCACTGAGGCAGGAGCAGCTGACCCATAGAAACAAGGAAATGCACCCAGAAATAGAAGCAACCCCTGTGGAGGTGAAGGGAGGATGACATGGGGATTCTCCATCAGGCAAAGAGTAGTTCTTGGGACCCACAAAATGAGGGGGTGGAGAGGAGAGGGTCCCATCTGAGAATCAGCAGCAGAGGGGAAGCCACAAGGGCAGAGAGTGGAGGGGAGAGCCAGCAGAACGGGGAGAAGCCCCAGGAGCAGCTCTGCAGCCTTTGGGAGGGACCTGACAGGGCAGGGGATGGAAAACTGAAGCAAAGCGACACAGATCTTGGAGTGGGGGTGGGTGGTGCAAGGCTGGGTGGGGGGTGAAATTTGGGGGAGAGGAACATGACAGTTGGCGCTGAAAGCTGAGCCCGTGACTCACCACCACCCCCAAATGCTCGTGATGGGAGGAGACGCTGCCACACTCACGTGCAGCCCCCAGCACACGTGACCGCATGCCTCGCGCACACACGTGGCACGTGGCAACTCTCACCCTGGCCTGGCAGGGGGGAAGTCCTCTGTGGCTGGCACAGCACATGGGGCACCTCCAGGGGTCTCCACCCATCCACCTGATCCCCCAGGGACGCTAACTTTGCACGGACCTCCTCACCTTACTTGGACAACATATGTGACCCAACACCCACTCTCAGCTTTAGCTGGGCTTCAGAGCCCAAGCTGAGCCTGCCTCTCTAGGTCTGTGCTTATGCTGGGACCCCAGAATGCCAACCCACTGGAAACTAATCTGTCCCAGCAGTCCTACTCCTGCTCTACAACCCCGAGACGGATCCTGGCCTCAGCTTACTCTAGGAGGCCCAGGTAAATGGGGAAATCCAAGTCTGAGCTGAAAGGGCCCTGACAATGCAAGCCAGACCTAGGTGTTTTAAGGGGCATGGGGGGCTCAACAGGAGAATCTGCCCTGGGGCTCTCAAATGCCTAAGTCCTGCCCCAGGCCATTCACTCTGAGGGCTTCAGAGTACACTGGTCCCAGCTTCAGAGCTCACCGATTTCTACTAACTTCTTTCTCCTACTTCTTGCATTCATACACTTGACATGTGACCTGGACCAGGGGACATCCTGCTGGCCAGGCAGTAGAGGCCATGAGTGTAGACTTTGGAGTTTCAATAGTGAGTTGGAATTCTGGTTCTGGATCTTCCTAATGATGGGCACGTTGTTACTGAACTTCTCTGGGGCTCAGTTTTGTGTGTGTGTGTGTTTAGCAAAGTGAGACTAGTGCCTCCCTCCTAGGGCCGCTGAGAGGATTAAGCTGAATACTTGGAAAGCACTGAGCGCAATACGTAGCTCATCCTAACACATTCATGTTAGCTATTATTACTAGGCTCCTTGAGATCCCAATAAAAATAACTCATAGTTTTTACTCTGTGCCTTGCATCCACTGTAAGAGGCGGAGTTCCTAGCTCCATTTCACAGATGAGAAAACTGTGGCACAAAGGAGCTGACTCACCTATGGTGACAGCTAGGAAGTAGCAGGGCGAGGGTTCCAATCTCAGGCAGTCTGGTTTAACTACGTATCTGGGGTTAAGGAGTTTCATCCAGGGGAAAACTAGGACCCTCCCCCCACAACCCAACAGAAACAAGTGGAAGACAGCAAAGGTGATGACTTAAAAGTCAGATTTAGGACTTATTTAATTAAAAAATTATGGTCCCTCCCTGGTGGTGCAGTGGGTTAAAGCTCAGCACTATGAAGCTGTCAGCAGCCACTGCAGCAGGAATTTGATCCTCAACCAGGGAGCTGACTGACCCACATGGTGCGGCAGGGAGCAGCAGACCTCTCCTATCTCCCTGCTGCTCCCCTCAGCCAGCAGAGTGTCTCAGTAATATCTGCCTATTCTGCTCCCCACTCTGTCTCTGGTGAATACTCTCACCCCCGCTCCACACACACCTCTGGCCTATACCTCAGTTCTTGTATGCATATATAAATCTTAAAAAAATTATAATTGAACTATAACTGGCATGCATACATTAGTATGTATGATCACGGTAAGTGTAGGTTCCCTGCCTCCATAAAGTTACAGAAATCTTTTTTTTTTACCCACATGATGCAGATTTCTCCTGTCTCGCCCAGTGCTCCCCTCAGCAGAATCTTTTTTTATGCAGAGAACTTGTAAGATGTACTCTAAACACATTGAAATATGCCACATAGTTGACTATAGTGACCACGCTGCTACAAATTCTATAACCCCATCACTTATTTTCTCATCAGAAGTATGAACCTCCCCATCCCCCAAACCTAGGTCACACTGTTAAGGGGAAGGATGTCCTAAAAGAACTCTGCAGAGTTTGGTGAACTCCACCCCTACTCCAGCCCTGTAACAATATATTTGGGGTTCCCTAAAGGCTGGCCTCAGGTAGGTAAACGGCTCCCCAGAGACTCAGTTTACTCATCTGAGAAATGGGGAGGGGCGGTTACACTAGGTGAACCTCTTGCAGGTGCCCTGACCCTGGGTTCAGGGAGTAGCTCTGGAAACAGGGAGTAGCTCACTCCTGAGGTGCAGAGGGCCGGCAGGAGGCGCCCGGAGCCCACCTCCCCCCGCCGTGGGGGATAATCCTGGAAGAAATAACGGCACCCTCCAAGAAGCAGAGTACAGTCCATCCGCTAAGGGGGTCATTTCCCTCGGGTCTTGCCCTCGTTGTCCTTCGACACCGCCCCCCCAACCCCACTCCCTGATCCACAGATGAAACTGCCGGTCCCTGCGTTTTCCTTTTTTCTCCCCCGTTTTCCATTTCCTCCCATATCTTTGAGGTTTTCCTTCTTCCCTCAGATTCCCGCTCCTTGCTCTACTGCTGACAATTTCTCCTCCCCACTTCCCTCAAGCGCCCCTCGATGTCGCACCCCTTCTTCCTGGCGCCTTTATTTCCCTGCTGGAAACGTGATTTCCCCTTTTTCCTCCGTGTGACGGAGGCTACCGTTTCCCCGAGCCCCTTCGCGCTGACGGATGCTTCACTTTCTCCTTTCGCTCCTCGGCGGCCTTTGTACATCCACTCCCTCCCCCGCCCTCAGCCTCCCGGGTCGCGGAGCCCCACTTCCCCGACTTCCCCCGCGACCCCGACGCGACCGACGCGACCGACGCCCGGAGCCCCCAACATGGCGGCCGCCGCCCCGCTCCGCCACCGGACGTCAGACGTCAGCGCGCGGCCCTCCCCTCGCCGCCGTCGGGCGGAGCCGGCCTTGAAGCGGAGGTGGAGCCTCTTGGGCCTAAGGGGGCGGGCACTAGCCACGGAAGGCCGGCCGGCGAGGGAACCTCGTTAGAGGATTGGCGAGGCGCTCCGGAGAAACGCCAACGCTCCGCGCTATTGGACGAGACTTCGGAGACCTGAGCGCCGATTGGCTGAGTCGCAGGGGCCAGTGGGGCGCCGATTGGAGGCATTCGGCTGTCTGGCTGTGGCAAGGAGGAGGAAGGTGGGCGGGGCGTTGCTGAGGGCGATTGGGGGCGAGAGCGAGGCTGCGGAGCAGGCGAGAGGGGACCGCGGGATCTAGAGAGGGCGCAGCGCTAGGGTGGCCGCGCGAGGGGAGCGGCCGCCCGGGCCCGGGCCCGG